TAGCCAGCTCTCCTGGACCCCTTTGCCCTTCATGTTATTCTCCCAGGGGATCCTACCTATCTGTTCCCTGAGGGAGTCAAAGTCTGCTTTTCTGAAGTCCAGGGTCCGTATTCTGCTGCTCTACTTGTCAGAGCACAAGTAGTAACACTCAGGGCTTTGGAGGAGAGATAGCTACTCAGCACTAGGAAAGCAGGGCCAGCACTTCAGGGCCTCAGCAGAGCTGCAGAAGGGGCAGGGCTGGGATTTAGGGGCACCGGAGTTCTGCATGTGGGGAGCCCTGGGCAGGAGGGCTATAGGTCAGGGTTGAAGGGCACTGGCAGAGGTGGGTGGGCCAGCAGGGGTAGCTGAGACAACTCATTCTCTTACCAGGATTCCTGGGAAGAAATGGATGCCGACACTATCCGTGTAAGCGCAGTTGTCGATGACGAAGAGGGTTCCGAAGGCCACCTGCAGCAGCCCCACCACCACTAGCACCGCCTGGCAACGAGAGACGCTACAGCCATTGGCAAGGGGGCTGGGAGCATCACAGTCACTAAGGATGCCAGTCAGATACCAACGTGCAGGGATGCCATCCCTTGGAATGCAGGGAGCACAAGTCAGCCTTGCTGAGCCGGGCATCAGGGCCAGGGTGGGGGGCTGTGTGCTGATAAACCACATGGGCATTTACTTGCTCCCACTCTTCTGAGTTTCAAGCCTTATCAGAGCCCAAGTAGCCTTATGGGCCAGTGCACAACCCCAAGACCCAGAGCACTCAAGACCCTTAGATGGGTGATTGGAGTCCTGGCAGCAGAGGAACAGGCCTGGGAGAAGATTGGCCTCTCCTTATACCCAGAGCAGGTAATGGCACTGCTGGATCCCCACCCACCTTCTCCACATCCCCCAGGGTGTCACCCTCATCTCTAGGGGATGGCTAAGGAGCTGAGTCCCCACTGCCCATAGAGCCAAGTCTGGGGGCTCTGCCCCAGCTGTGGGTAGAGGGAACATCAAGGAGGCCAAGGCAGGAGCCATGGGAAGGAAGTCCCAGTTCTGTCTCTCCCTGGGAAAGGCCTCACCCCAAAGACTCTGGGCTGCACCCCAAGGAAGCCGTGCAGCAGGGATTCCAGCTCTGACATGGTAGCCCCTAGGCGTGGTGACACAGAACAACCCCCTCGTGGAATCCTGAAAACGAGCCTGCGAAGAGAGTAGTGTCAATCTGAGGAGAACATGGAGCAGTCATCTTCCCCCACCCTAGCCCATGCAGCCCCCTCATGAGAGAGGGACCCCCAGGAGTATCTGCCTGATCCCTGTGCGGGAAGCCCCAAGGGAAGGTGAACAGGTTGGTCTCTAGCTAGGAGACAAGTTGGAAGCAGAGGAGACTGTGCTAGGGGCACAAATTTAGGGATCCCAGGATGAGAGACTCCTCTGGCCGGGTGAATGAGGGCCAGGGTCCTGTCCTGTCACAGAGGGTCCTTCACCCCCCTCAGGCCAGTCACCCCTTCTTCTAGTGATCCAGCCCCCAAACCCCTCATCCTATTCACTGCCCTCCCCATTGACCCCCCCACCCTATCTCCCTCCCCACACTCACCTGGGTCTCTCTGTCCTGGTGCAGAGGTGGGCTCCAGGCTCCCAGTGTGGGTACTAATCACCAGCTTTATGCCTGGTTCTCCTGCTGCTCCCCCCAGACTGATCTGATCCCCCGTGTCTCCTTGGAGGCCTGCCAGGAAGTGTCCCAACCTCCTGTGGGGCTGCCGGATGCTTACCACAGAGAAGGAGCTTTCAACACAACTCAGCACATGCTTCCCTGCACAGTCACCATGCCCCTGCATGGGGAGCCTGAGGCAGGAAGGGGCCTGTCAGCTCCCATCCAGCCCAGGGAAGGTCACAGTGCCTCAGGAGCCAAGGGGCATGGCCCATCTGGGGGGCAAGCCACACAGCTGCCTATGGGGCTGGGTGGCTCCAGGGGATGGGAATGAGTGGCTGCAGGGTGGCTGAGGGGATCTGCAGTTCTGGAGATGTGAATATGTTGGGAAGGGCCACCAGAGAAAGAGACATGTACCAAGATGGCCACGCCAGGGAGATCACCCCTTTCTCCCCCACCCACTCCACTACCCCTTGGCCCTCAGGGAGAGATTATCACAACCACCAGCCATTCCTGGAGAGCTGCCCCCCTCCCCATCTCCTCCAGGATGTACACACATCTCCCCCCACCCCTAGCTCTCCCAATTGACCCCACACAACACTCTGTCTCCCCACCGAGGCAAGTACCCCACTCCCCACACACAGCCTTCACCCCCTGGGACAGTTATTCAGACAGTCGCACCCAGGGTGATAATTATCTATTGAGGGGGCAGGGGCTGGTGTTGTGCCCATGCCACAGCATCCCCCCCCCCCAGCAGCCTAATCACAGGGCCATTTCCTGTGTCTGTCCCCACCCAACACACCTCCCAGGTGGGCAAACACCTCAGCCCCAGGCAGCCTCTTCACTTCCCAATAGACAGCAACATTTCTCTATGTCCATCCAAGAGCCACCCCCACCAACCTTTTGCAATCCCAGCTCTTCCCCCTTCCAGGCCAGGCAGGGGACCCAGCTGGGGGAAGCTGCTGCTGCAAGTGCCTGTTGATTTACAAGACTTCTCTCTGGGGGCAACCCCATCAGCCATACACAACCAGTAAATCTTGTGGGTTTGGTTTTGTGGCCAGGAGACTATCATAGAATATTAGGGTTGGAAGGGACCTCAGAAGATCATCTAGTCCAACCCCCTGCTCAAAGCAGGACCAATCCCCAGACAGATTTTTGCCCCAGATCCCTAAATGGCCCCCTCAAGGATTGAGCTCACAACCCTAGGTTTAGCAGGCCAATGCTCAAACCACTGAGCTATCCCTCCCCCCAAGTCCGCTAGTGTACAGCTACCTCCCTGCACCCCACCAGCAACCATCATTCCCCCACCCACACACTACTCCTAGAATAACCAGTGCTGGGGCCTGGAGTGGAGATGGATGGATCACAGCCCCATATACAATCACTGCAGACATTATAGTGTAAGAGAGAGACACCAACTCTCACAGTTACTGCCAGCACCATTCACCTAGAATAGATTCCAAGGCCAGAAGAGACCTCTGTGATCGGCTAGTCTGACGTCTTGCTTAGCGCAGGCCACAGGACTGTCATGAATTCATTACTGTTTGAATTAGCACAGATCATAGAACCATAGGGTTAGAAGGGACCACAAGGAGGGTCACCTACTCTAACCCCCTGCCAAGATGAAGGATTTGTTGTGTCTAAGCCATCCAAAACAGGTGGCTGCCCAGACTCTTTTTGAAAACCTCCAGTGAAGGAGCTTCCACAACCTCCCTAGGCATGTCTGTTCCATTGTCCACCTGTTCTTATAGTTAGCAACCTCTGCCTGAGGTTTAATCTAAATCTGCCATGCTCTAGTTTGAACCCATTTCCTCTTATCCTTCCCTCTGTGGCAACAGAGAACAACTTTTCTCCATCTTTTTTATTGCACCATTCCTTAGGAAAAGCTTCCAGTTTTGACTTAAGTTGCTAGTGACTGAGAATCCACCACAGCCCTTGATAAATTGTTCTGATGGTTAGTTACCCTCGCTGTTTTTTTTAATGCATCTTATTTCTAGTCTGAGTTTGCTTCAACTTCCACCCACTGCATCTTGTTAGTCTTTGTCTGCTAGACTGAAGAGCCCTTAATTTTCAAGTTTATGTACTCCATATAGATACTGATAGAATGCAATCAAGTCACCCCATAATCTTTTCTTTATATTAATGTAACACTGATGCCATTGGGTACAGTTGTCAGGAGCAGGGATTGAATCTTTGATCTTTGTGTTAGGGGGCTTATTTTTTCACCCTCTCACTTCCCTGGTTCTTCTTGCATGAACAGAGAGCAACAATACCCAAAGTCCAAAGGTGCAAACAATTCGATGTTTATTGGGGTGAACTTCCAACAAGCATAATTCCAGTTTCCTTCCTCAGTGTCGCCCTTCCCAGCTCTGACACCACAGAGCCCTGCCTGTCTCCCTGTTCCCATTCCCACCCCCACTTAGTAAAGCATGATTCCAGTTCCCCCACCCCCAGTCCCTGTTCCCATTTCCCCCCTTACTTCCTGATTGACTGCAGACTATATAGTAAAACTTGAGTTCTGCTTAGCTATACCTTAACCAATCATTTTACTGAAATTTAACTAACCAATCCTAACATACTGTAACATGGTTATTTAATCAATTATATCCCACCACCTTAATTGGTTTACACTTAACAAAATTAATTATACAGCAGACAGAAACAATTACAGAACCAGAACCAGACAGAGACAAACAATAGGGAAGTGGAGACTACAGTGATAGAACAATACAGAAATGAGGATTTCACATCCCAACTATTTAGAAGTGAGTTCTTGCCAGACAGGATGCTATTAGACTAAGTTTCCTTTTACATCTTCTAGGCTCTTCCCTTTCCCAGAAGGCGATAGGAATATCAGGACAGGATTGTATTCCTAACAGCCCAATAGCACCTTATTTCAATGTGACTAGTTTGGAAGGTGAGGATGTAACCATACACCTCCCAGTTTATGGCTGGCCTCTGCTGCTTGTTACTGTAAGAAAAGGCCCTTACACAGACAGACAGTGATTTTGATTCTTTCTTTTATACCTCTATAACTAGCTAAATGATAAGAATACATCTAAATTCTTAAAGTATAGGCCTTTACAGACAGGCCTGAATATCTATATCCTAACACTCTGGATCTTAATTCATGAGCCTATTCTGCTCCTAGCTAAAAGAGCCAGCTTTTAGCCAAAGCTGTAGCAGGCAGAAGTGCTAGTTGGCCTAGCTACCACTAGAGGGGGACAGAGTGTTACACTAAGTAGCTATAGTTTATACTAAATAGATTGAGCTCCTCCAGTCTGTCCCTATAACATGTTTTCAATCCTTTAATTATCCTCATGGTTCTTCCATGAAAACCCTCCAATGTGTCAACACTTTTCTTCGGCTGCATTTAGGGTTTGAGCACCAGTGCCTGTTTGAAATCAGCATCCATGCCTGGAGACAGCAGGGTTCTGAGAGAGTAGATTTAAATTAGACTGGATTGAAGAGAGAGATTCAAAAGGCTGGGACCGTTCAGCTTGGAAAAGAGACGACTAAGGGGGTATATGATTGAGGTCTACAAAATCATGAATGCTGTGGAGAAAGTGAATAAGGAAGTGTTATTTACCCCTTCACATGACAGAGGAAGCAGTGGTCACCCTGTGAAATTAATAGGCAGTAGCCTTAAAACATAAGGAAGTACTTCTTCACACAACACACAGTGAACCTGTGGAACTCATTGCCAGGAGATATTGTGAAGGCCAAAAGTATAATTGAGTTAAAAAAACCAATTAGATAAATTCATGGAGGATAGGTCCATCAATGGCTATTAGCCAAGATGGTCAGACAACCCCATGCTCTGGGTGTCCCTAAGCCTCTGACTACCAGTAGCAGGGACTGGCCAACAGGAGATGATCACTCAATAAGTTGTCCCATTCTATCCATTCCCTCTGAAGCATCTGGGACCAGCCATGGTCGGAAGACAGGATATCAGGCTCGATGAACCATTGGTCTGATAGAGTTTGGCCATTTTGTGAAGAATCATCATTTTTCACAAGGGTGAGTGAGATTCTTTGGCTTAACAAAAAATTTTCATTAAAATATTTTAAAGTGAAAGATTTTGTTTTAGTTTTTGAAAGCAAGTATTTTTAGAAGGCTCCTTTCTGGAGCAGTTTGTTTAAGCTGTTTCCAGCCTTCCATCCCCCATCACCTTGCTCCAAAAAAGTAGGCAGGACAAAGTGAGAGAAATGAAAACCCCACACTGCCTCCCCTGCCTCCAAAATAATCTGAAAGTTTTTGCTTTTCCAAAACCTAAAGCAGAAAATTCAACTTCACCACAAGCTTGTTTGCTAGTTGTCAACAAGTAAATATTTTTTGTGGAGAATAATGTCAATAAACCCCCATTCCTCAGGAGTGTTTTGATCAATTCTAGTTCAAACCCACTTGGAAAAACGGCTGCCCCCACCATAGCCTCCAAGTCCCCCCACAACATTTGGTTACAAAGAAATGAAATTCCAGGAGTCGCTTCTCATAGGTCTCCATGAGGGTTGAGGCAGCAGTGGTGGTACAAACTAAGCAAGGAATTCACTTGGAAATGCAGAGTTAAGACAACACTGTTTTCTCCACTACTCATGGGCTTTGCCTTCAGAGTGCTTTAATTCTCTCAAAACTGTCATGAGAATCATAGTATCAGAGGGGTAGCCGTGTTAGTCTGAATCTGTAAAAAGCTTATGCTCCCAATACTTCTGTTAGTCTTAAAGGTGCCACAGGACTCTCTGTTGCTTTTTATGAGAATCATAGAATATCAGGGTTGGAAGGGACCTCAGAAGGTCATCTAGTCCAACCCCCTGCTCAAAGCAGGACCAATCCCCAACTAAATCATCCCAGCCAGGGCTTTGTCAAGCCTGACCTTCAAAACCTCTAAGGAAGGAGATTCCATCACCTCCCTAGATAACCCATTCCAGTGCTTCACCACCCTCCTAGTGAAAAAGTTTTTCCTAATATCCAACCTAAACCTCCCCCACTGCAATTTGAGACCATTACTCCCTGTTCTGTCATCTGTTACCACTGAGAACAGTCTAGATCCATCCTCTTTGAAACCCCCTTTCAGGTAGTTGAAAGCAGCTATCAAATCCCCCCTCATTCTTCTCTTCTGCAGACTAAACAATCCCAGTTCCCTCAGCCTCTCCTCATAAATCATGTGCTCCAGCCCCCTAATCATTTTTGTTGCCCTCCACTGGATTCTTTCTAATTTTTCCACATCCTTCTTGTAGTGTGGGGCCCAAAACTGGACACAATACTCCAGATGAGGCCTCACCAATGTTGAATAGAGGGGAATGATCACGTCCCTCAATCTGCTGGCAATGCCCCTACTTATACAGCCCAAAATGCCATTAGCCTTCTTGGCAACAAGGGCACACTGTTGACTCATATCCAGCTTCTCATCCACTGTAACCCCAGGTCCTTTTCTGCAGAACTGCTTCCTAGCCATTCGGCCCCT